CTTAGGACACATGTTGCTAATAAATCGAGGAAAAGCACAGATGCTCAGACACAGTTCAAAGCTCTGGGGCTTGATGCTGAGCTGCTGGGTGTAGTCCCCGGAGAAGAAGCTTGGTGGGGCCACTTCCCTTGCTTGGGGTGAGCACTGCCTCTGTAATGGCAACGGTTGGCTGCAAAACAAGTGCTGAATGTTATTTTCACTTTTTGCCTTTTTTTGTAAAAGCGAAAATCCTCTTCAGATTTCTTTTCGGTTATCAAAAACAAGTACTAATGTAGGTCTTTCGTAAAAGCAAAGAAGCATAATACAAGCTTTCGAAAAACAGGATACCTGTACTCAGGGGCTACGAAAACATGGGTGGTTAGTATTTTATGCGATCACTGTTTGAAACTCCCTAACGACTGACGGCAGATTTATGTTGACCATTGAAATAAACGTCTGAGGCAAAATATGGAAACCATTTTTATTTGGGGAAAATGGGTACCAAGTATCTGTCTAACGGGACACTGTTCCAGGTCTTGGGAATCTGCAGGCCAAGCCCTTTCGCCTCCTCTCCTGCTCTGGCTTTGCCTCTGCTTTTTCCTTTTCTTTGCTTCCACCTCATCCATGCTGACTCGTGTCCCTGCTGGTCTAAACCACTCTTATTTCTTTTAAGGTCAGTCTCCATTCTATATGTCACCTGAATGTTCTGCCACACATTATGTGTTTTTCTTGGCCTTGTGTGGATATTCCCATAGTTGCTACCTCTTAAACATCTTTCATTGCAGTTCATCTCCTGCTTTACTATACCTTGAATGGGCTGAGTTGCTTCCAAGCTTTCTTTTGCCTCTTCATTGTCCACATACCCTCTAAGCTTTCAGCCCTGTTGTACCTGAGGACGGTTGCTAACTTCCTGATCAGGCTGGGCAGCGCTGACCGGAGCCCACACTGACTTTTTGTTCTTACTTCCTAACAGGTCAGTGTATATAACTTTCAGTGACTTTGAGAGCATAGAGGGACTGCCCGCCTATCGGTATACGGTGCCTGAAGAAATATTAGCCAATACCTCAGACAATGCCGGCTTCTGTATACCTACGGGAAACTGCCTGGGCTCAGGGGTTCTGAATGTCAGCGTTTGCAAGAATGGTAAGAGATGACCTGATAATGAGTGTTTGGAAGGCAGGATGGGTGTTTTTCAGCCCAACAGAAAGAATGACTCTGACCTTTCAACAACAGTGTTTTGTAACATGGCTATTGAATGGTAAAAAAAGTATTGGCTCCCCTGTAATGCTTTTTATTGCTAGCATGCCATGGTGTGTTTTTTCTGGGCAGTAGTTTCACAGTCTTAATGGTAACAATAGCTCCTGTTTACTAGGACTTCCTAGTTAGTACCAGTCACTGTTTTAAGGGCTTTACATATTTACATATAGTTAACACATGTAAAGCATTAACTGGTTTCATGTGCAAAACAATGCTGAAAAGAGAAAGTGGGGAACTTGGTAATGAGAGAGTACAGCATCTTGGTAAAGACTCTCAGTGATTTGGAAGCAGAGTGAGTTTTAAACCCTGACTGCACATTTCGCAGTGTTTCTTAAGGTCTGGATTACTCTGCTCCTTTCCATGAATGAGGCGGAATTATCAGGGGTACGGCTAACAAAAGCATGTTCATCTTGAGGACTAGTTTTAACAATCATACGTTGCATAATTGTTCACAGTAGCTTTGCTAGAGAGACATCCAGTGGCCTTTTTTTTTACAGTTGTGGAAACCAGGGATCAGAGAGGCAACATGGTTTTTATAAAATCCTTGTCTCTCAGAAAGTCCCTGCTGAAACCAGGGTCTCCTCATATTCATATAGTGATTCTTCTTAGGTTACAATTCCTCTACAGTTTCTCTTGAGAAACTTTCTAACCCCTTTCTCCTGAATAAAGTTGTCTTTTTCTCCTAAATAAAGTAGGGTGTTAACTTTTGCCCTCTTGCCTAACTGGTTTGAAAATCTCCGTTTGGGATAAACCTGAAGTCAGCAGCATCCGCCCTATCTGTCTGATGGAGCATTGCCTCCGAAACCCTGCCTCGCATCAGGATTACCTGGAGACTCATTAAAAATATTTGCCCCAGGGCCCACACACTAGGGCCCCAGAATGTCTTTTTCACGTGAACCCCCGATAATTCTCATGAAGGTAGTGCTTACGTATTTGGGAAACACTGTGCCAGGGAACACAGCACCCCGTGCCTGGAGATAAGACCAAAGGTAAATTGGAAACAGGTTCCTGCATCTGTCCTCCTGGGTGAATAGTCCTGAAATAGAGCCCTGCCCACCCAGCCCAGGTGCCTCTGGCCCGAGACACAAATGTAGACGTACTTTTCTTGTTTTATGAACATTCTGCTTCCTCAAGAAGTTGACGTCAGAGTCAATAGAAAGATTCTGCTTTGCAATAGTCAAACCTCTTGCTACATTTTTTTCCCCTCCTGCCTCCTTATGTATTCCCAAATGTGGCCTGAAAGGTTAAACTCTCCAGGATTATCCTCAAGTGTTTTGAATTCTCTAGGGGAACATTTTGGGTAGTGGGATGAGTGAGTGTTCTGGAGTCAGGTAGCTCTGGGTTTGAGTCCTATTCTAATTGTTAGCACATTGGCCAAGTTGGTTAAGGAGGGTTCCAGGCATCAGTTTTTTCATCCATAAAATGGGGGTGATTCTAACTTTTCTTGGAAGTTGTGTGAAGGTTGNACATCTCAAACTATTTTTAAATAAAAAGTTTATGTAAATTTTGTTATCACTCATATGCATAAATACATATTTGTGTATATACCCCCCAACACACACACGCACACACACACATGCATGCACACAAGCAGGCATGCACACGCCCACGATCCAGGAAAGAATATATAAGAAACTCGGCAACAGTGTTAGTTATGGACAGGGGAACTGGAAGACTGGGGTATTGGACTGGAAGGGAAATTCACTTGTAAACAGGATATAGCTGGATTTTTTTTTAAACCCAATCTGTTATTTTCTTTCTAGTCTTTTAATAGGAGAGTTTAACCCTTTCATTATACATGTTACAATTACTGATACATTTATGATATAATGATATATTATTTAATATAGTTGGATTTATTATTTTCTGGTTTATGTCTGTTCTATCCTTAGATTTTTATGATTCATATTTAACAATATTTTCTTAACAAAATCTGAAGCTATCTATTGTCTCTTTTCTCCTTCCAAACAGGACAATGACTTTATTTATTTCTTAACACATACACACAGCTTCCATGTTATTCTGGTCTACAACTTGTTTTACATTCTTTGGAAGCCAAATATAAATAAAAAGTTCATTTTTCATGGTAAATATGTAATTAAATACTGACATATTTTATTATTATTTTCTTTCCTTTTCATATCTTCCCCCTGGGTTTAGTTTGCTTTGCTGAAGTTTATCCATTTATATAGTGGCTCTCAACCAGAGGCAGTTTTGTTCCCCGAGGGGACGTTTATTGATGTCTGGACACATTTTTGGTTGTCACAACTTGGGGGTGGGTGCTACTGGCATCTACTGGGTAGAGACGTGGCATACTGCTAAACATCCTACAGTGTAACGGGCAGTCCCCCCACAAAGAATGATCAGGCTCAAAACATTAATAGGTTGAGAAATCCTGCATCTACAGTCCTTTCAGTAAGGATCCACGGGTGGTAAACTTTCTTAGGCTTTGCATATTTTAAAATGTCTATATTTCACTCTCAGTTTTGAATGACTTTAGTTAGGTATAGAATTATAGGTTGACAGTTCAAAATTATGACAAATATTACTGTATTGACTTTTGATGTCTATCTTTTTCCTTGGCTTTTTGCAATTTTACTACAATATATCCACATTTGAATTTATTTATATTTATCCTGTTTGGCCCTTGGGACATACTTTCAATCCAAAGCCTTATATCTTTCTTAAATTTTGAAAAACTTTCAGAAATTATCTCTTAACTTATTGCTTCTCTGTTATTTGCTCTGTTCTTACCCTCGCCCCACCACCCAAAAAAAAAACAAACCTATTGAATGTTTATTGGAGCCTCTCTGTCTATTCTCTGTATCTTAAGCCTTTCATTTTTAATTTTTCTGAGCTTATATTTATGTAAATTCCTTAGAACTATCTTCCAATCAACCAATGGTCTCTCTAGTTATGTACAGTTAAAAGTTGTATATATATTGAGTTTTTCTTTCAGACAGTATTTTTATTCCCATGATTTCTATTTTTTCTTTTTTGGATCTTTCTACTCTTGTTTCATTCTTTCCTTTTAATAATTTGCCATTCATTTCTAAGGATGTTATTCTTTCATTTATCTCTTTGAGGATACTAAACAGTATATTTATTTAAGGTATTAGCCAAATTGTTCGATTATTTTAATTTCTTCTAAAGTGAACTCTTCTTCTCATTATTGATTTTGTTGCCTGTCTTTTAGTGTAAGCTTCTTTTTAAAAAAAAATGTTGATTTATAGAATTATTTTAGTTGGGAAGTCCACTGGCTAAACTTTGCTTTTAGTGAGTGTAAAGTCAGTTCAATATTAAGCTTTCTTGAACCCAGGAGAACCTCCATTAATTTTGGAACAGGGAACTATTTGGAGGAGAGACAAAGTTAATGCTCCGTCATGAATATTAAAGAGATGAACATATCTATCCAGAGGTTGTCTACCAGTGGGCTGGCTTTGAACACTGCTATTGTGAATGCTAAATTGGATCACTGTTTGAAGTAAATGGATATTTCTAAACCTCTATACAGGATACTTTTTTTGATGAAGGAAAGAGGGGTTTTTGGCTATTTCCTCTATCAAAATTGATTCAGGGGTAAGGAACCTATTTTTCCCCATCTTGATCCAATCCCTAACCAATATCACTCTTGTGTCTATATGTGAATGAGATTCTGTGGGTAGCCAGCTCCCAGGTAAGTCTTGAAAAGTCCTGACCATTTGGGAAAAAATCTGAAATCAAATTCGATCCTCTTGATGTTTTCTTGTGCTTATCAATTACAGGTCACTTGACTGGTGGACAACAGACAGGTGCAATATGATTAATGGAACAGACGGAGATACTTTTCACCCATTAATAAACAAAGACGAAGTCCTTTATGTCTTTCCATCTGATTTTTGCAGGTAAGAACTTTAAAAAAATAAGTTCTTTGACTGCAAGACCACCAAAAGTGTGAGGAATATATATAGCTACACTTAATAGTCATGAATATTCATGTTTAATCAATGATAAATGATGGCATATTGAGAGACAATGTAGAATAGTGGTTCACAGCACAGACTACAGAACCTGACTACATTGGTTTGAATACTGACTCCACCACTTATGGCTGTGTGAGCTTGGGAAAGTTATTTAACCACTCTGTGCCTTACTTTCCTCATTTGTAAAATAAGGATAAAAATAGTTGCCTACTTTAAGAGTAGTTATGAGGATAAATGAGTTGCTGTTAGTAAAATACTTAGCCCAGGGCCTGTCACACTAAATAATATTAAGTGTTGGCTCTTAGTTATTATAATATGCTCTGTTAAGCACTAAATTTGTTTTGGTCTTTTTCCAGTCAACAAATAATCTCTACATAGAAGATAAATAAATCATACCATTGTCCGTAGTTCAGAGTTTATAGGTATTTGCTTAACTATAACCTTGCCATTGATCATATCTAGTCTCATTTGCCTTGTAATGTCTCCCTCTCTCCTATCTACTCTTTGTCTACAAACGAACATGATTTACTCTTTGTGGGAAGAAGGCATCCTGCTCAACACCCTGTTTTCCATCTTCCCATCGTCCACTGCGCCTTCTCTCACCCATCACCCTTGAACTGCTTGAATGAGTGGCTGGTTCATGAACCCTCCACTTCCTCTCCCATTCACTCCTGCAAGGCTTTTTGTGAAACTTCTCCTCAAAATCAGAAATGACCTAGTTGCATTTGATACTGTTGATTCAATATTCTCAAGAATCTCTATTCTTCCGGTGTTTCATATCTCACATAATTGCACCACCTGCCCAGTCAGCCCTGCCAGGAACATCGATGACATTGTAAATCTCCCTTCTCTTTTGCATTTAATCAGGCACCAAGTGCTATTGATTCCTCCTCAGAAATAGCTCTTACATTCATCTGTCCCTCTTCGTCCCCACTCTCTGTGCCACGGTTTAGACCCTTTCCATCTCGCATACAAAACAGCACAGTCACCTTCTAGCTGGCTGCTCCAGTCAATAAATACTTGTGAAAGGACTGAAGGAAGAGAAAATGCATTTGAATGCAATTGAGTGAGACAAGGGAACTTAGAAGGGCAGTAGGAGGTTGTTTTTTTGTTTGTTTGTTTGTTTTAAGATTTGGCACAGAAGAAACACACTCCTATCTGGTGCAACCACTTAGAAGAGCCATTTGGAATGTTTAGTAAAGCCAAAGACGTGTAAACTCCATAATTCTGCACTTCTGTCCTACGTAGATTCCCAGACCTGAAGAACTCTTGGGTCATGCAAGGAAATATAGAAACGTTCATTGCAGCATTGTTTGTAGTAGTGAAAAATTGGAAGCAATCTCAGTGCTTATAAAAAGGAGAACATAAGTAAATTCTGGTGTATTCATAAGATGGAGTATCATATAGGATTTAAAGTATAAGAACCAGAGCTATGTACATTAAAGTAAAAATATCTTTAAAATATAATGCTGAATGAAGAAGCAAATTACAGAAAGAGAATATGGTATATTATTTATTAAAATTTAAAAATAGCAAACAGTGCCACTTGTTGTTTATGAATGTGCACATATATAAAAGTAAAAAAACCTGCTTGGGAATAATAAACCCCAAATTCAAGATAGTGGTTCCTTCCAGGGATGCAGAGAGGGACTAGAATCAGGAATATTATACAGAGAGCTTCAGTTGTATGTATAATATATTTTTTATTTATCTGAGTGTAGTTGTTATAAAAGGTATTTATTATATTTTTCTGTTTGCCTAAAATATTTCATTTAAAAAAATGCTGCAGGGGGCCGGCCGAGTGGCTCAGTTGGTTAAGAGCTTGCTCAAGAGTTTGAGCTCTGAGCAACAGCGGTTCGAGTCCAGCCCGAGCTGAGCAGCCGCTGA